GCACAAGTGAATGATGGGTTTATCTGCCTGTGTCTCTAAACCAGAGTGTAGAGAAGTGGACGTACAGCGTGAACGGTCAAGTTGTGTCCAGCGGTGTCGACAAGGACATTACTGAGGAATATGATACTGGTGTTTACACCGTCCAGCTCACCATTGAAGACGGAGAGGCAAAAACACTCTCAGACACAGGGAGGTATGCAGCCACACGCAACGAATGCAACACCCCTCTATCCTCCTCTATTCTCCTTTCAGTGTGGCCGTCGTTCCCATCGACAAGGTCCCCGGTTGTGCGGCATTTCTCTACAAGCCCCCTGCGTCGCAGCTCGATGAGTTCCTTGCGGCCCCCATGGACGGGATCAACCTCAGGAGTGGCAGCACGACACTTGAGCCGAAATGGCTTGGCAGCAGTCTCGACAAGGGATGCGAATTCATACCCGACGGTCGGACTAATAGCATCATGGAATCAACCTTCAAGCAGGATGTCATTCTCAGAGCTAAGGTCGGCGCCGGAGCTTCGCGTGCCATGAGCGGAGTGAATAAGCTTGTGTGTATGTCTTGTATCCGTTGGATGGTGAAGGGTACCCTAAAGGTGAATGACGGCATGAAGAATAACAAAGGGGAGGTTTCGATCACCATCAGTGCAGACCCGGCCGTCCAGACGATGCTGCGGGTCAATGGCGAGCCCTTATCTCTCTCTAAAGGCAATGCCAAAGCCAAACTTGCCAACGGGCCCCATCAATTTGAGATCAGCTGGCTCATCAAGGACCCGGAATCGAAGCCTCTGTCGGTAATTTTATTGCATGGCGAGTGGTCCCATTGTGCACATTACAAATGTATTCTCCGCTCAGCTGCAAACAAATGGCGGGGTTGCGGAGATCGATGATGTGTCTCACAGCCAGCAGGAATACCCTCCGTTCATCAACCGCATCTCCCCCACTAAAGGGCACGTCTCCGGCGGCCAAAAGATAACTGTCGAGGGTGCCGGCTTTATGAATCCCGATGCGGTCAAGAGGGGTGCCTCCCTCCTCTTTGGCAAGACACCTGTCGACTACCTCACGGACACTCGGGTCCTCAAAGCTTCTGGCACAGAGATCGTATACGAGATTCCGCCAGGGGTGAGCGTGCAAAGACTGGCTTAGACCTGTGTGTCGTCTTCGCGTGTGCGTCGGATAACAGGAGGAGGGCGAGCTTTCTGTGTCCGTCAAGACCCCTTATGGTGTATCGAACAAGAAGCGTTTCGAGTATTCTAGTCGTGTGCCCCCCGCTCTTAAGTGGACCAATCAGACCATCTTACTTACCTTCGATAGTGAAGCACCCCTGAAACGCAAGCGGGGTCGCAAGTTCAACGGTACACTTTCTAGAAGACATGCCGAAATTACATTGTATGCCTCCCTCTCTATCTGCGTGTGTTGTCAGGCTCGCTGACCCAGGGCGAGTGGGGCCCTGATTGTCGCCTATACATGAGCGATATCGGCGGCGGCATCCGGGCGCTTGAGTGGATCTCGAACGACGACATCGACGAGGAAAACCTGATCGAAATCACCACCATCATGGTCCGTGAGTGGAAAAATGCCTTTGAACAGATGTCAACCAACTGTGGCTTCTTCAGGAAAAATACCCTGGCCACTCCATCACTGGCTTCGGATGTCAGGCTAACCCAAGGGCTAATATATGAAGCCATGTTGCGCTCTCCTGTCCCCTGCCTGTCTCAGTTGACCCCTTTGGCGACCCTGACGATCCAGAGATGTTCGTGGCGCATGCTCCCATGTTCCAGTGGGTACAAAACGATGAAATAGGGACCCGGCCAGGTGCACACGTGGATTTCCTTTTTCTAGCAGGGAGGAGACTGCTTCAACCCAGAGAACAACACCGCCGAGTTCATCGGTGTGTTGAGTAAACTGAAGGGTCAGTGTAGGCACACATGCAGACACGGATGCCCAGATCACTGCGTGGTGATGGTGCCCCAGGTCCACCCAACTTTAAGCATCATGAAGTGGTGGTTGACGGCTTGCCCATGTCCAACCACGACCACGGCCTGAACGGCATCTCCTTCGACAACAGCGGCAACCTTTACCTCCCAATTGGTGCCATGACCAATATAGTACGGACATGCGCTACACTCACACCGCTGGCCATCCCTTTCGGACTGTCATCCGTCATGTGCATCCGTGCTCTTCCAGGGCTGGCCCGCATGCATCCTTGGCGGTTTGCCAGAGAGCCACTACTCAGGTGCCCTCATCAAGGTGGAGTTGAGGAATCCAAAGCGCTCCAGAACGCTGGAATGGGTTGACTATTTCACAAGAGAGCGCATCGGGAACCCCAACCAAGTCAGTGGAATCCGACAAATTCGCGTGGCAATCCCAGTTCGTATTGTGACATCTTTACAGTTGGTTGCCGATATGTACGATGTGGCCCCGTGGGTCACTGGCGTGTATCCCTATTCATTTGGGTTCCGGAACGCCTACGACACGGTCTATACGACAAAAGGGCAGCTTTGGGCATCTGCTAATGGCTGGAACGAGGGCTACGGCCTCGCCATCAACGGGCCGCCGGAGTCAGGCTGTACGTTCGACGGCTGGGATAAGTCGAGCTTTGCGAGTCCGGACAGAGGCGAGGCTTTGGACGGGGCGACCCGGGCGGAGAGATTTCATGTGTATGGCGTGGCATTTACGTGTCATCAGGCATGAATCCGTTTTGGAAGGGGGA